TTCATAATCAATAATTAACCAGTTAGTGATTGTATCCATATGTGTATTACATTATTGAATAATAGATTTAATAATAGTGGTCGATTTAAACGGAAATGAAATTTTCATTCAATATTAATGAGAAAAAAAACGAGTCTTATGTATGAACTATATAGGTGAATATTCCATAGTGATTGATTAAATGTAAGTGGTTAGTATGGTTAACAAGATTTTGGATAGTTATTGTCAAGGTATTCAATAGTTGAATTCATGAGTCGATCTAAGTTAGATCAGCATTGATAACCTGGAAGCACTAGATGTCTATTTCGTTCTAGTATGGAACGATTGAAATCAGACATTGACACTGTTGGATTCTTGTTCAGTAATCTAGAGGTTAAGAGTTAGCTCGTGAGACCGAAGATCTTTGGTTCAAGTCCCACATACGAGATTGTGGATACACACTGATAAGAGGCACCATATCAGGATGAAAAGGCACTTCAGTGCTTCCAGGTTTTTAATGGTGGTCTAGCTTCAAATGACTCATGAATTCAACTATTAAAATCTATCTTATTTTGCAAGTCTTGTCATTCTTACTCCTCGTTTAAAGTTATTAAAGGATGCAATCATATCAGTCAGTCGCGGCTCGGATAGCTTAGTGGTAACGTCTCTGACTGTGAAGCTGGGTGACACGAGATCGAAGCCTCCGGGGAGCACCAGTTCCCTCAAGATTACAGGTACACCTTGCTGATGAGTTCCAAGTAGCATGAAACTCGGGTCCAGGGTTTCCTGTCGACTACCTCCAACCACCATCTGATCTCAATGTATAGTGCACACAGTGTCGAGTCACTTAGACTGGTGGCCACATTGCAACATGGTCGATAGCATTCGGTCTGCACTAAATAAAAAATTGACACCCATGACATTGGTTAACACCCAGTGATCAATCAATTGTGAATACTTTGATATTTGTCATTTACATCTTCATTATAATATGATAGTAATTATTTCAAATTGTTCACCTAGATTTATGTATGTTTCACTGAAATTGAATACTAGTGAAGGTTAATCAATGTATCATTGTACACCTAGTCACTTCTCTCTTACAATCGTCAGTTACGTAAAAAAATTTGTGTGAAAGAGAATAGAGAATATTTCCACAGTTGAAAGCTAGATCATCATCGAAAACTCGGAAGTATTGAACTACCATTTCTTCCTAGAGTGGGACTCCTCAGCGGTGCGCATCCACGACCCTACACGTGTGACTCGGACTCAGGACGTTTGATCTCGCGTGCCAGCTCTTAAACTCCAGACCACTGAATCGGCATCCAACAGTATTAATGTCTAACTTCAACCAATCTATGATATCGTGCGACCAACTTTGATCGTCTTCAGTGAGAAACTGCCTCACAACAGACACAGTTGAACTCCACTGGTCATGGCTTCTCACCAGAACTCCAGGAAATCTATCTTAATTAATTATTCGCCGATCATTTATCATTGGTATGTTTATTACGTTTTTAGTTATTATTTTCTATCAAATTCCCTAAAATGGTACTTTATCATAAGTTAATCAGTAACTCATTGAACTCATTGATTCAGAGTTGGCAGTGTTGCGAAATGTTTTAAGTTGTATGCATAAACCATTGCATAACGACTCAAGGGTTTTAAAGAGATACATGAGATTCTTGGGTTCGATCACCTATGATGAGATCGTGAATACTCAACTGTTAATGAACGAAACGTCTATCTAGCAGTTCCAGACCTTCAATCGTTGTCTAACTAAGATCACTTTATAATCTAATCTGATCATTGTAGAATGTTAGTCAAACAAGTAGTATAATATTGTTTGTAAGTATAAAGGACAAGAATAACTGACTGAATTTGTAGACAAATTTAATTTGTTTTGGTGTGATTTATTATAATCATTAATATTTTCAACGTATTTGTTTGTAAAATAATTACTAATGGGTGGTTTGACTAGTTTATAAGGGTCAATATATGACAATGATTAATCTATAAACACTTTAACTGTCTAGTAAATGTAGTGAAATAATTCAATCAGAACTAAAAAGTATACTTTGATATGTATTTGAAGAAAATTTGAGGTATAGGCAAAATATTACATAATAAATCATTAGAAAATGACGAACATGTTTACTTGAATATTCCCTGTCATTGATAAGTCTCTTATTGGTATATATGCATCCTTTGCGGATCGACTCGATAGTGCACTAATTCAGAGGTATTTTAGGCAAAGATAGATAGTGGATAGTAGTGGAATCCAGTTTGATGCGCGTTTCATCCTGTTTGGGACTTGTCAGCTGAATGTACCTGCATCTCTGAGTTGATGTCCACTCTAGGACTCGAACCCAGTACAGTGATTAAGTGGATAATGCGATGGTTTTTGAAGCGAACGCTACTAGGTTCGAGCCACGGAGTGAACATTAACTCTGTAATGTGGCAGGTACATCCAGCTGACGAGTCCATTAAGACAAAACCAAGTGAATCTACTTATCTCTCTGTTTATTTGTCCTATTAACATAATAATCAAATAATTTCTACTACTGAAATCTAGACGGAAATAAATGAAAAATTATGAGAAACTAATTTATTTACGAATACTTTAAAAGACTACTGAGAATCAAGTTACTTATAACATTATTGAAAGGAGGATTTATGGAGATTGTAGTGATTTTAATAGGTGAATTCATGATTCAATGTAAGATAGACCACCATTAAAAACCTACAAGCATTAAACGGTCATTTCGTCTTAGAATGGAACTCTTCAGTAATTGTGGACATCCACGACCTCACACGTTTTACTTGAACCCAGAATATTCTGTGTCGCTTAACCTCTAGGCCACTGAGCACAATACGTTAAGTATTCGAACGAGAGAACCGAAGGTCCTTGATCCGAATCCTACATGTGGGATCGTGGATACACACTTTGTCAGTGAGGAACCCCATACTAAGGCGAAATGGCCAATTCAATCCTTCCATGTTTTTAATGATGGTCTAGCCTTAGATCAACTCATGAATTCAACTATTACAAGTAGTGACCAGTGGAGTTCAACCAGATCTGCTGTGAGATAGTAACTCACTGAAGACAATGGTGGATGTGTCATTCAATTTCATGGATTAGTTGGTTAGACATTATCACCGTTCGATGTCGGATCATTGATCTAGTGGTTAAGTGCTCGCTCGCGAAACCGGTAGGTCCTGGATTCGAATCTCGCAGGGGGCGAGGTCGTGGATGCGCATTGCTGAGGAGTCCCACAACAGGACGAAACGGCCATCCAGTGCTTCCCGGGTTTTTCATGGTGATCTAGCTTTAACTGACTCATGATCTTAACCATTATTATTACAATTACTTATAAAAGATTGACTGTTCTTTTTAAAAGAACTCATAACAACTAAACTTGGATAGAAGTAATAGACTTATGAAAGAGAATAAATTACAGTCAATTATACCTGTATTCTAAACACATATCCTTATAACAAAATAAACAAACAAATCAATAATATAAATTACATTTTCTATGACAAAATTAATCAATTCGATAGTAACTATGATAAAAAGTACATTTGGTAGTGCTCGATGTATGTTGTTGTTGTTGTTTTGTCTTTTTTCGTTTTTTTTTTCTTTCAAAAATACAGATGACCTTATTGAAATGATTAGGGTTATACATAAATGATTGATTATTTTATTCATGACTGATTAGCTTAGAAATAATAATAATAATGATAATAATAATAATAATAATAATAATAATAATAATAATAATAATAAAAACCTCTTTATAATTCATCTGGGACTATTTAAGTTATAGAGGGGAAAAAAATGGATAATTTAACAGATAGTCATATCTCTCCCTCCCCCCTCTCTCTCTCTCGCATGCGCGTGCGTGCGCACTCGCTCTTTTTTTAAAAAAATATTTATTTTGTAATGTAATTGAATCCATGACCGATGGTAATTCAATAGATGTGAGAATATCAGAATTTTATTATCATCAACTTATATCTGGGGTATAAGTGAAATAAAAAAGAGAACTATTTATGATTGTCCAATATAAATTGGTTAATTATATCAGGTCAATCTATAAATAGTTAAATGTAAAGTATTTGTCACTGAAGACAATGGTATATGGTGGCGCAACTTCGTGGATTGGTTGAAGTTAGACATTAACACCGTTGCGTGCTGGCTCAGTGGTCTAATGGTTAAGCAGGTCCTGGGTTCGAGCCCCGCGTGGTGCGGGATCGTGGATACGCACTGCTGAGGAGTCCCATACTGGGACGAAATGGCCGTCCAGTGCTTCCAGGTTTTTAATGGTGGTCTAGCTTCAAGTGACTCATGATTTCAATCTGTGGAAATTTCTAAAAATCTCCACAAACCCCTTCTGATAATTGTTAAACTGTTTCATTAAAATCGTCATATTCACGTCATATTCAAAGACTAGTATTTGAATGAAGCATATTCTTTTCGATAAATTCTCTTCAGGTTCTACAATTATATATCCAAATTAATAATCCGAAAAGAAGGCTAGGTTAAGGGCAAAGTACATCGTTTATATTGTGTATTCATCTTAGTTAGACAACTATTGAAATCCTTTACATTATCTAGACATCATCATTGATGAACATGATGGATCTGATTCAGATGTGAAGGAGCGGATCAGTAAAGCAAGAGCAGTATATTTACAACTGAAGAACATCTGGAACTCAAAACAAATGTCAACCATCACCAAAGTCAGAATTTTCAATACAAATGTCAAGATAGTTCTACTGTATGAGACAGAAACTTAGAAGACTATGAAAGCCATCATCCAGAAGATGTAAGTGTTTATTAACAGCTATCTACGTTAAATACTTCGGATGTGTTGGCCGGACACTATCAGCAACAACCTACTATGGGAGAGAACAAACCAGATTCTGGCGGAGGAGGAGATCTGGGAGAAGCACTAGAAGTGGATAGGACACACATTAAAGAAAGCACCCAGCTGTCATAAGCCAAGCCCTTACACGGAATCCTCAAGGCCAAAAGAGAAGTGGAAGACCAAAGAATACATTACACCGAGAGATAGAGACAGACATGAGAGGAATGCGCAAGAATTGGATAGAACTAGAAAGGAAGATCCAGGACAGAGTGGGTTGGAGAATATTGGTCGGCGGCCTATGCTCCATTGAGAGTAACAGGTGTAAGTAAGTACTTCTTTTCCATAGCTTATGTTCAATGAACTAGTAATGTACATTGTAGTATAATGTATTCATACTCTAATTCTTATAAAAGAATCCAAGAAGCCGGGTTTGTTCTTTATCATAAAGGAGAAGTAATATGCCAAAAGCTAAAAGCATGTCATTGATCGAGATTTGAATTTAATTTCTAAGGAGAGACATGTCATTCGCTGAAAATGTGCCTTTATTTTCTAAAGGATAAAATATATATATTCATGTTTATGAATGAGTGTACTTATATTTTCAATTCAGTTTTTGATCAAGTAAAATTACTTTCTCACTGCAGTAACTGATTTGGAATTGCATATAAGAAGCTTAATGATCAGTATCAGTACTCGGATAACTAAACACAATAACTGAATACTGGTTACCGGTTAGTTCAAAAGCTAGGTGGGGAGTCTAACTGTTCAACCTCATATGAGAATCCGTGACTTTGTTTTATTGGAATCGAACGAAATTACTGTTTATTTCTCGATATCAAATAATGTCCAATGTTAGTAAAACTTGTACTTCAAGGAAATATCAAGTCCATCTATTCAAGATGTTCATCTACCAATAGAGACTGGTTAAATACAGTTCTTAATGTAGAATGCTCGATAACTCAAACACTTTTATAGATTGGTGATATTAGTTCAATAAGAATTGGTTCTATCGTTTGGGAAAATGTCCTAGAGTATTAGCCAGTTATTTTCTCTTGCGATTCTGTATCGGCATCACTTCTAGGCTTCATATTTCAAACAAACAGTCATAATACTAACAACGGATTGATTTAAGCTGTTACAAATTAAATTAAAATTTACAGACATTGAACAAGTGAATGGTTATTTGTTCTTAGAAGCCAAGTAAATCATTTGAATCAAAGCGAATCGATTTCAAATCACAGAGTGAATATCGACCCGAATTCAGGTTTATCCAACTAATGGGTCCAATTTAGGATGAAACACATATTAGATCCCATTAATAGTTATATCTTAATCTATTTTTCATAAATAGTTTATCTTGGTTGGATTATGAAAATTAAAATGTTAAAACATTTGCACTTTTAACATCCTTCTACTTTTAACACTGAATATTCATTTCACTGGTTGAAATCATTAGTCAATTGAAGCTAGACCACCATGGAAAACCTGGAAGCACTGGGCGGCCGTTTCATCCTAGCATGGGACTCCTCGGCAGTGCGCGACACTGATAGGTCCTGGGCTCGAGTCTCGCGGGGGTGGGATCGTGGATGCGCACTGCTGAGGAGTCCCATACTGGGAAGAAACGGCCGTCCAGTACTTTCAGATTTTCCATGGTGGTCTAGCTTCAATTGACTCATGATTTCAACCAGTGAAGTTTCCGAAAATCTCCACAAAACCCATCCTGAGAATATTTATTTGTCTCAGTCTCTTATTGGCATATCTGCGGCCTGTGTAGACTACCTCAATATTGAATTAATTCACAAGGATTACAAGCAAAAATGAATGATAATTAACAGTGGAATCAATTCTAACGCACATTTCGTCCTATTTAAGACTCATAAGCCGGATATATCTGACAATTTAAACAAACAATACAAATATAAATTAAAACTTCACTCCATTACACAAACTAGTAGCCATCCGGATTTAGAAGCCGAGTGAATAACTTGATAACGATTGAAGTGAACGACACTAGATTTGAATCCTAGACTGAAAATCAATTTTGTGATATGACAAGTATATTCAGCTAACTCATCACCTTCTAATCATCATTCATCTTTACTTATAAACAGTTACTAAGTATCAAGTTTACAAGTTTATAACAATTCATAATCAGTAAATGATAACTTACTTTCTTTATATATTTGTTCACATATATATTGATTATAAGTAATATTAATCTTTTCAGATTTATTAAAATCCATATTTCTTGTTATTCTTTGAATAATAGTAATTCCAGTCATAGTGTTATCATGAAAGATCATTTTCCATTCAAAGTTTATAATATAAATAAAAGGGGTAACTAGGTTGATCAGATCCTATTTCAGATATGTTGTAGAATTATATAGGATTTAATTAGAATACATTGCGGCGTGGGGGTGGGTAGTGGTGGTCATGATGATGATGATGGTGGTGGTGGTGGTGTTGGATTTACATTCATTTTATTCATTGAATCATTATCATTGTTGAAATGGTTTTGTACAATTATCAATATTGTTTTTATTACACAATTTAATTATCTATACAAACCAATTGACCAATCAGATTATCGTATTTTTTTAATTTAAAAAAATACTTAATTATAACATGTGCTATAACAAATGACCAATCAGGAGACGAGTTCGTTCAAGGTCATTGGAAAATTATTCAAGGTTAGGGAATATTTAAGAAAAAACAAGTAACATTTTTTTTAATAAAGGGTATTTGGCTATTTGTTTGTTTATTTTGGTTAAGTTAAATAATAAAAGGTAATTGAGATCATGAACTGATTAATGTTCAACGACTATAGAAAGCTTCGAAGTACTGGATATCTGTTTCATCCTATGTTGATGCGTCCGACAATAGGACGAAACGGCTGTCCAGTGCTTCCAAGTTTTCAATAGTCGTCTAACATCAATCAATTCATGATTTCAATATCTAAAACATAATGAATTCTGCAACCACATACTGATAAAATAAAGGAAATGTTGAATTTACGTTTGTTTACTTTCAGTATTAGAAAATAAAA